AAAAGGAAAAATATTAAGAAAAGGGAAAATATCGTAGCACATTCCTATACAACTGAAAAAAGGAGGAGAGGGAAGGGAGAAGGGCTAAAGGCATGAAACCGGTCTCTCCCCAGATGGCGTATTCGAGTGTTGTGATCGCGAATACTTTTATATAAATAATTAAAAATGTAATTTTTACACAGAATTATTTTTGGTTAAAAAATTTATTTAATTGTGCACAAAATGTTTTTGATTTTCTTAAATAGTTTCAAACATAAAGTGAAATTAACAATGAAGGTATCAAACTTTTGATAATTCTTCTACTAAATTAGTGGGGCTATAATTGCCAGCCCCAATATTTTGAGGGTCAAGTTAAAAAATAAAAAAGGAATTTGTATATAAAAAAAAGTATTTAGAGAAACTACATTTTTGTATCTGATTTTGTTGCTTAAATATCATCAGCACAAATTAATAAACGTATTTAAGGATGGTACATGAAAATCTGATCATTAGATCAAAAGGTATCAAGTGCTTTGTTTTTATTTTGCACACTGTAGGCACATTTAAATTTTTATTTCCCAAATCAGTCAGATTATCTGTATTTGCTCATTATAAATGACTAACCGTAATCTATATCTTTAATAATGAAACACTACTCAGTATTTTTTGTAAACCACAGTTTTGTAACAAGAACTTATTTGAAATGGTAGAAACCAGTTTGAATGTTAACATAATTGGATTGTTTTTAAAGAAAACATACACTTTTAGTAGAGTGAATTATAGTTTATTTAAGTAGTAACATGTTAACAAGTAATTATAATTCAAACAAGACTAGATATATAACACTATGTAAAATGTAAAAATTCTAAAAAAAAAATCTAAATTTTTGGATTTTTAATATGTAAAATTTAATAAATATAAAGAGGTAGAGAAAATAAGTGCAATTATGACAGTTTGTATGGAGATTCCACTTCTTCATTTACAGACCTAAGGTAAAAATAAATAAATAAATAAATTATTACAAATATAAAAAAATGCAAATAATTTAAAGTATCAGCACAATAAATTTAATTAAGCTTTCTTCAGAATTAACTTCAACTCATTAGTTATTAGTTCCTCACTTGTTGGTTTAGTTGAATATTTAAGATGAGTTGGATAGAAATATTAAAGTAATACATCCTTCTCATGAAAATAGAAATGTAATACAGTATTTTAAATAAAGCAATGCGAAAAACCATTAAGGTACAGCAAGATCTCAACTAACCAAAGTAGGTTAATTGTGACCAGACTTACTACAGAGTAATTGAAACATTCGGATTATATATAGGTTATATCATTTTTATCCTATTTGCATGTAATTTTTTATTTCAAAATTCCCTTGCACTATTATCTCAGATAGTGATATTTCCTTTTTGAATAATACGTTTGTAAAAAATCTGCATCTAATTGTGAATTGTTAGTTGATTTCACTGTTTTATATTCATTTGCAAGCCCAGTAAGGTTTCTCACTTTTGGTCGATTGATTACTACGATATTTTATTTTACTTGCATTGATAAAAATTTTGTAAGTACGTAAAAAAAGAGAGAAAGAAACAGACAACAATAGATTACGGTTTAAATAGCTATTCAAAATAAAAAATTTCGGTGAGGCTCCACAGTATAAGAAATTTTTGCCTTATTTTAGCCTGTATAACATTAATGCGAAAAACCAATCTGAATCTTTGAACTACTAGGTTATTCGGAAAAAGTAATCAAGTTTTTTTTCCGACATAAGACTTAATCATATTTTCTTTACAGTCAACTTCATACTTAAGCTGCTTAATTATTATATATTTTGATACAACAAGGCATGCTTGTGATTCTACCAGTAGTTTTTAGTTGGTGTTCTTTCAAATATAGAAAGTGAAAAGCAGCATTTTTGTCATATTTTACTTCTTTACTATCAAAAAGATGAAAATTTTGTTCAAGCAAGAAAAAAAGTGTATGCAGTATATGGATGATGCACGCCAGTGCCAAAACTGGTTTGTAGAATTTTGATCCAGCAATTAATGCACACGAAGAAGCACCATGTCAGTTGTAGTTGATGAAGACACAGCAAAGGCATTAATTGAGGCAAACCAGCGAATAACAACTCGTGAGATAGCTGAGTGATCGAACTCAACCGTATCAAACTCAACCGTTCATGATCACTTGAAATGCAAAGCTTGATTTATGGGTTCCTCACTTACTCAAGGTAAGAAATCTGTGTTGTCACTTTGACAACTGTGATTTGTTTCTTAAACGCCAAGGAAATCATCCATTCTTGAAGGACATAACTGGGGGTGGGGTGAGAAATGAGCTGTCAATAACTACAACAATGTTCCAGTCTCTAATCTGGATGCTATTTTGGAGCAAAAAAAAAAAAAAAATAATATGAGCATGGAATCATACGATTACCAAAAAGATGGAAAAGATATTAGACCAGAATGGACAATATATGATTAAAATATTTATTCACTATAAGAAAATAGAGTTTCATTTTCGTGAGAAAAATCCAAACACTAAACTACTTTCCAAACAACCAAATGCATAACTCCAGGCAATTAAATGGTTACGTAAAGCAACTTTCTATAAAAAAAAAAAGCTGATATAGGATAAACCAACCAGTGAAGGAACATTTCATATATATTGATTAAAAATAAGTATATTTGAAAGTTTTCCTTTAGATTGATTGGTAACAATAGCTTACTGCCAAACAATAGGAAGTCATCTAACAATGTTTTGGATTAACTGGTCAAATAGATTTCTCTGGAAAATTTTTTGAATTTGTTATTATCTCTGCAACACCTTGTTTCTTTGAAAAAATTATAAGGTGAGTGTTTGTATTTATATGTTTGAAGTGGAAATAATTGCATGTAATAGCTTTATTTTTCTCACTGTGAAAGAGAGAATTCAAAATATAGTTATTAATGTCACGTTTTAATTTTTTAAAGCATCATAGCATAATCAAGCACTGAGATAAGGGGGTGTTTATTCACTGGATCACCAAAGGATGAAAAACCAGTGAAGGAACAAGTGTTTCTTTACTGGGTTTTCTCTAAGTTAATGAAAATAAAAGATAAACTTTAACTTTTTTGTACCTTTAGTGATGTTCCGCATCAAAAGTATGTTAAAAATACGAAAAACAACTTCTAACCAGTGAGGGAACAGACATGTTCCTTTACTGGGCATAGATTTTCCAGTGAATGAACAGTATGTGTTAATATGTTGACACTTTAATTTTCAATTCATGATTACAAAAAAAAGTTAACATTTTCCAAGTATTTATATGTTATAATTTCAAGAATAGGCTTGTTTTTAAATATTTGTATGGCTTATAAATTCATAAAGAGCATTAAAAAATAACCAAAATTAAGTGTTCCTTTACTGGGGGCTTATTCACTGGTAAGAGCTGTTCCTTCACTTGGTCTTCTTACTTCTTGTTATTTGAACCTCCAAAACTTTAAAACAATATTATGTAAGTTCTCTACAATTTTTTCTACAAAATTTGCAATTAGTAACAAACATGTTGGCACTGTCATTTAACTAAAATTACGAATTTTGAAATTAATATGATTCTTTAAAAGGCAAACGAAACTTAAGTATTCCTTCACTGGTTAGTTTACCCTACCAGTAAATAATTTAAAAAATATATGAAGAGAAAGGATACAAAATTTATAAATACAAAAGTTAATTGCACTTTTTCTTATTTGACATTGCTTAAAATACTGAAAGCTATCTATGAATATCATAAAAATTTACCAGAAAAATCTTAATGAACTTCAAGATTATTCTGGAAAAATAAATTCGGAAAATAACTAATTTAGCACAAAAGTTAAACATAAGCTAGAAAACAAAAAATTTTATTATCTAACAAACGACACATAAATATTAAATGTAAAAATAGGAAAACTCACAACAATGTTGCAATTTTTTTTAAAAAACATGTTATCTTTCTTTACCAAAAGAGTAAGAATCATACTTTAATTATTTCTAAATAATATTTGAGTAACACATTACCTCTTGTTTAGGCACGGACAATCAAGAATACTTTGATTCCTTCCAAAATTTTCACCATCCTCGATGCTATGAGGCAAATGTTTGTGAAGAGTTTCAGGAAGAATCACAGTTATAGTTGAAATAAATATCATGAGAACACCCGTGATTACAAGAGGTAAACCAGGCATTGTCATGGACTAAAAGAGAAAAATAATATATTAGCACACAGATATATTTTTATTAGTGGAAAGATAGCTGTAAAGATATTGCTTAGTTCTATACACATTATTAATAAATCATAACTTAAAACTAAATACTATTTTAATATGTCAAAATTTTAAAACTTGCACTCTAAGATTTTGTACTTTGAAATTATTTTAAGAATTTTTTATTAGTTATATGTTTTTGGATATTAGAATTTGTGATTTATGTTAGAATTTAAAAATTTATGAAAGGTCTTTAGATAGGAATAGATTAGATATAGAATGGAATAGATTAGATATAGAATAGAATAGATATAGAATAGAATAGAATAGATATAGAATAGAATAGATTAGATATAGAATAGATTAGATATAGATTAGATTAGATATAGAATAGATTAGATTAGATATAGAATAGATTAGATATAGAATAGATTAGATATAGAATAGATTACAAACAGAAAATAGAAATACATTCAAAATGGTTTTTTAAATTATATTTTTGGGTAAGATAAATTTTCTAAGATAATTATTTCTGAAGGACATTTTGTGTGTGAACTGAACTTTTCAAATTGAAATGAATTTTTTACATATTTCAGCCTAACACATGGAAGTAAAATTACATTATAGCAAAGAGAAAAATCATTAACTGTTATTTGAAGCTCATTACAAATTTTACAGCTTAATAAATTGGCCTAATGATAAAAAAAGTAAACTAATGAATTTTAAAATCATTTGAGCAAACATTAAATTTAAGTTTCTAACCTTCTAGCTCAAGATGGGCCCTGATCTTTTTCAGAATTTGATATCTTTAGACTCTTTCTTTGGCTCAGTCATTCCATCTAGTTATTTTTAATGTTTTCAGATCACCATTAAGACAGTTTAATCACCTAATTTTAGGCTGTCCTCTCTTTCGAGTGCCAGTAGGTTTTGCTATGAATACTTTTTGGTGGCCCTACCAGGGTAGTGACTCAAATCAGGTTTTAAATTTCGCTGATTTTTTACAGGTTAAAATCTCTAGGTCAGCATGTTTTTTTCTTCTTTTTTTCACAAAGAGTAAGATAGGTAGTAAACCCCAAGAAAAATGCCTTTATTTTTTAAAATTTTATTGTCTCACTACAACATTAATTTTTATAAAATTAAGATAAATGTGGAAAAAATGTTTAGCTACTAGAATATATTGTTTTTATTGAATAAAAAGTGTGATATAAAGTGATAACAGAGTGACCCTAAAACCTTGGACAAGTATTGTTTTTCATATTTTTATTCAGCAAAAAAAAAAATATATTTATTAAGCAGAAGAAAAATAGATGTTTTTAAATTTATTTCTGCTTTGAAATTTAACAATTTATTTACATTTGAATATAGAGCCATTTTACAGTATTTCATCCCTTTATAGAATTCATTGATCATATTTTCTCTAAATTAATATCTAAAGTCAAATGCTCAATATTGTTCGTTTGGAATTAGCAATATTATTAACAGAAATATTTAGTAATAAAATACAAAATTGTAGAATTTCCTGTTGCATACTCTATAGAGAAAAGCAACATAAAATTCTTTAAATTTTGTTTTTTTATGCATTTTTATTGGAAATTCAAATATTTAAAGAATTTCAATCTAGCCATATATTTTTTTAAACTTTTTATTTATTTTTTACAACTGTAACATGTACAGAGTGCAAAATAAAAAACGGAACACTCTGAATAACTTCTGATCTAATAATTGAATCTTCACGTTCTAGGACTCAATCTTCATTGTTCGAAGGGGTGATCTCAAATACGCTAATTAAAATAAGTTACACTTTTTGCAGACAATATTTAAAGTTACAAAGTCAGTCTTTGAATAACATACCTATATTCTATGGATTTGGATTTTTGTCTCTCAAAATATAGGGAACAGCCACAATCTGGGAAAAATGGTCCCAATAGTTTGATCAGAAAAGCATTCCAAAGTTAGGACCTCTTAATGTTAATTTTACTGTATCTCCAATGATAATTCCATGCATAATTAAATTTTAAATGGTAAGGTATAGACTCTTTTACATAATTTTAAAGAATAAATATTATTCTTTAAAATAAAAATGAAATTAGTCGAATATTTTGCGAGAAATCAAACTTCAAAAAAGCTGTATCTACAAAATTTTGTCTTCCTTCTTTCTAATAAACACATATCAATGAAAAATTTTATATTCCATATTTATTCATTAAATTAACCATGTTTACCATACATTCTTTAGTTTTTTGCCAGGTTTTTAGGGGAAAAGGAGAAACGGCTTCTTAAATATCATCTCAGGAATGTACATGGCAATTACGAACTTTCAATATTGTGATTGACTTGACATTTCTTATTTTGAACCAAAAATCACATATCTACCAACAAAACAGTAAAATTAAATTTTGTCAATATATAGTTGGTTTTTAAAAGAATCTTTCTGCTAATTAAAATATGTTTTAAAACGTTTGAATGAAATTGAGAAAATTAGCGTCAATGCAACAATTGTTTGTAAAAATTAATCTACGATAATTGCAGGCAGGGATTGTAAGAAAAAGTTATGTGATTGGTTCAGGGATGAGAGTAGTCAGAAAGTAAAAAAGAGGAAATCCAAAAAAAAAAAAAAAAAAAAAAAAAAAAAAAAAAAAAAAAAAAAAAAAAAAAAAAAAAAAAAAAAAA